TGATTTAATAAGCTCATTTCTTAAGATTAAAAATTTTAAGAAGCCACGTCCATTTTTCCCAAAGATTGAATTGAAACAGGAAATAAATGAAGAGTATAGATTTTATTGTAGCATTAAATATTATAGTGGTGACTAAGAAACTTAAATGTTAAATTTAAATGTATTACTACTGTCTCATTCTAAGTCATTCTTTTTTAAGAGTAAATCCTTGGTAACGATTGAGCATTTCTTGTGAGTCTGGCTGCCAACTCTTTTTTTTTTTTAAACTTGTGAACTTTGTAGATACGGCATTCGCCCTGAAAATGTGATTGTATATGGCCAGAGTATAGGGACAGTACCATCCGTGGATCTTGCTGCTCGGTATGAGAGTGCTGCTGTTATTCTTCATTCTCCTTTGACCTCAGGAATGCGAGTCGCTTTTCCTGATACTAAGAAGACCTACTGTTTTGATGCATTCCCAAAGTAAGTATTAATATTCAAGTAGTTTAACTCAAAGAAACTTCTGAGGGAATATTTTTCCACCACTTAAGACACAAGTTACTCAGCCTTGAGCTTCTATTTTACATATGTTATAGAAATTGTGGAAAAAAATTAAAATTTGTGAAGAAGGTGGTGGCCTGACACCAGTCAGAAGGCTGAAACACTTGAGCATTAGTAACCCAGGTAAAAAGTGCTGAGGGCTGTATATTCCAGATAGTGGCACTAGTATTGGAGACAAGAGAATGAATTTGAGAAATAAAACTGATAGAACTGAATGTCAGACTGTTTATGAGATGCTAAACAAAAGAACTTGAATATAATTTCCAGGTTTCTGATTTGACTGTTACTGGATGCTAGTGCCATCAAGTGAGGTGCATAACTGGAGGAGAGGAACAAGTAGAGGGAAAAATGAGACACGTGTGCATAAAAATGAGTGAATGATGTCTAATTAATGATATCTGATATACAAAAGAAATGGATTGCAAAAATGTTGAGTCTTAATGAACCAGAATAGTTATTGCTGCCACAAAGTCTGCAAAAACATAAGTGTGAGACAAAACACAGGACGGTCGTTCCCCACTAGCTCTTCTTCCTCACTGCAAAAAAAAAAAAAAAAAAGATGGCCTATTTTTCTCAAAAAAAAAAGATGAAGGCAAGAAGTGAGAAGCTGGCAAATTTCAGTCTTATTTTCTTTCCCCAGTTGGCAGCAATACAGAGATATTTTTGTGAATGATAGATGGGCCAAAAGCCATGTCACTACTTGGTTCTTTATAACAGCAAAGGTCATTTCAAAAACAAATTTTTTTCTTCATTAGCCAGTAAGGGCTACTTTGGTAGAGAAGTTTATGGGAGTCTACAGAGCAGGCTGTGGGAGATTTTTGGTTTTTTACATTTATTGAAGGTTTTTTTTTTGTTTTTAGACAATGGCAGATGGGAAGTTATGTACATTATACTGTCTAGCTGAATGTTAGAAATGATAGGGAGATATTTGTGATAAACTGTTGCCAACTTATACCTCTGTCTAGCTCCCTCTTTCATTTCAGCTACACCAACAGAGCGCACCACTAATAGTAAACTAGTTAAAAAAGATCATACATTTCCTTTTTTGTTTAATTCCTTAACTGTTGAACATACGACAGCAAATAATATACCCAAGCATTTTTTTTTCTTTACCAAATGCAGCCTTGATTTATTTCATTGATAATTTTCCTGTTTTTCAAGTTTCTACCCTCACTTTCTGGCTATAATGTCTTGCCTGCCTCTCTCTCACCTCTTTCTCCCTCTCTCTCTCTCTCTTAGGATTTATTTTAAAGAGTTGATTTGTTTGTAAGGTTTCCTCGTTGTATTGTTTGTTGTCTCTTCCATTTTGCCCTTTTTTTATTGTTTGTTTTTGACCCCTGTCTTATATTCAAAGTGTTTCCTCTGGTATATCTGATAATTCTTGGTTGTGTGCTCATATGGAAGAGTAAGGAACTAAAGAGCTGACCTGAAGCAGGTGATTAAGGTTTGTTGACTGTGAGTTTCACTATCCAGTGATCTAGTCAAGCCAATTAGTTGGGGTTCCCCACTCCTGATGTCAATATTTATACATCTTTCCTCTTAAGGTAGATATAATCT